TTTCCTTACTGCGGTAGCGAGTTTACAGCTTCTATGCACCTGCCATTTTCGAATGTTGGGATAAGAGCATCTCTCATTTTTTCGAATCTTCACTCCTTGATTGATGGGCGCGTGCTGTCTTCTTATATACAAAGACTTTATTCAAACGACCCTAACTGGCATAACAAGTAAAAAGATGAGATTCCAATTATCTTTATCCGTGAATGTCAGTCTCCCACTTTACGTCCATCCAATCAAATTTCCACTCGTCAGGATGACCCAAGTGCTTCACCTTATCTTTCTGAAGAGTTATGGTATTAGCTTCCAGAGTTTCCTCATTTCTGGCTAAGTTGTCTATAGGTTACTTGGTTCAAACGATAAAAAACCTACAAAGTCGAAAGTGCTCCACCTAAATGGAGGCACGCTTCCCCACGTAGGACCGCCCTGGGCTCTGAATTCTAATTTCTTCATCATGCTGACGTTGGTTCCCTGGAATGCGCGACATTATATGAATGAACAGAAGTGGTCCGAGTCACCTTATAGTCGAGCGCTCCATGATTGACATGCCCTTGTCCAGGAAACTCGTACGTTCCATTGGCTGGATTCAAATCTCCACGGGCGGAAATACCCGCCTCGGCCGAGTAGGGAGGATTGCAATTGCACTTAGAGAATTCATCCTTAGTATAATCGTTATACCTGGAAGTAAGTTGTTGCTCAGCGATAAATAGCTGAACAGCAAATGATTATTAGTGTCTTTACTTGTTAAGATAAGATAAGCCAATCTCTCCATTTTTGGTATCACAGCCCAAAATTTTGATGTTTACTAAGATTTTGGCACTTTTACCATAAAGCAGAATATGCTCAGGAACTTTTCATTTTGTTGTTTTTCTACAAATCATCTCTAAAAAATTCGATTTTCGACTATACAAAAAACTGTACCTCATAAGCTTTGTGAGCGAATCAATGTCAGTAACAGTGTGATGATCCCTTTCGAAAATTCTCGCTCGAGGAGATTTTCCCCATACAAACCAGTTTCCAAGTTTCTTGCCCTAAAATGATTGTCTTGTGAGATCAAGGAAGCGCCTAACTGGTTAGACCAACCTGTCCTATAAAACCGCTAAGTTGGGTGATTTTCTTGAAATAAGGTATGTTGTATGATGGGAAATATGAGTATTTCTGGAGGAACCACGTCAGATCTTGATATACTACCGTTCCACTGCAAACGTGTAGTAAATTCTGCCATTTTCACTCAAGATTTGGGCAGGGACAACTTACGGCAGCTGCTCGAGAACATAGAAGAGACCATATTCGGGAAGGGGCTTGTTCGGTGTGAATTTGTTGTAATCAAGCACAGCCCTATAATAGCCAAAATTTGGTCAATTTAGAAAAATGT